GGACAAAAGCCTCAGTAATGACAAATGTATGACAGTTAGCCAGGACCTGAGTGCTATGCAGATGTCACTCATTTTTGTAGAAATTTCATTAAATTTTATGCTTGGTTGTAATCATTCATAGTGTCAGCTGGATGGCTAATGCAGAGAAGCTTTTCTCCCAAGGGCTGTGTTATTGTTCAGGATCTCTAAAACAATTTTTTATTTGAGAATAGCCAACTGAGGAAAAAATGCACAGTCTGCTCAAATGCTCCTCTGGAAACTACACAGAAAATGACTGGTCATAAATGCACTACAGTGCAGTCGACCTTCATAGAGAAGACATTTGGGGCTGCAATAGGCTCTTATGCAGCTCTAGGAACATTGGAAACCCAGCATAAAGAATATTAGTTATCTTCTTTCAGAGCAATTCCACAGATTGATACTTCATTTCAGGACATGCGTGACTGCATTTTGGCAAACTTGTTTTATGTGTCTTTTTATTGTTGGAATGATCATCCTGAGAGGTCCTTTAGATTACTTGCCGTGATACAATGTTAATGCGAGAGCTCTTGAAAGACCATTACCAGTAATAGCCTTATTCATTCGGTGAGGCAGTGCCCTTTCCTGTGAATCCTAAAATGTGCATTAATTTACTCCACTACAGTCTAACCAGAATATTTCTTACTTTTACCAAATCACTGATAGCTCAATATGTAGCGTTTTATGAACACAGAATTCTTGACCCGAAGATCTTGCTTTCCGAGTGAGAAGGTGCATTGGCTTAGCAAAAGCATTTGCACGTGGTGTGGAACAAGAAGGCTAGTGAGGAAGTGTAATTCACAGTGAATGCAATGGGCACTGTGGCTTTAGCTGATACATCCTCAGCCTTGTGTCCTACTACGTGGTGCACCCAGGTGGCAAGATAGGCATGTAAGCACCCTCGGGGGTGAAGAGGTTACACTCCAACCATCAGCAGGGCAAACAGGAAGGTTAGACTCCCATTTGGAGAGTAAGGAAGAGAGGACATTGATGATCCAGCCTGGATAGTCTTGATACGACTCATTCCAGGGATAAAGGTCAACAAAAATCTCTGATGTCCTGATTGAGTAGACCTTTAGTCGAACATGTGTCATTTTGCACTCCTTTGCCCTGATGATTTTCCAGCCTTATCCAAACAAAAAAATAGAGGATGTCGGCAAGCTGACCTTGAGAGTCGTTGAGCTTTGTGAGCCCCAATTCCAGACTGAATTATAAAGACTCTGAGTTGGATCATTGGGTTGTGACAGTTGTGGCTTACTACAAAAAGTACGAACAGTGTGAGGAACGTGAACTGCCATCCCACCTTAGGAGGAAAAGGAACAGTAGCCTATGAATCACAATACAAATGACATGACTAACTGTTACCCCGGTAAAGGTACCACAGTTTGGGTCAGAAATGGAGGTTTTGACATGCCCCTTTCACAGACATTTCCTGTTGACTGGTTAGCACTGCACTGCTTCGCTTGCTGGCTGCCCCAAACGTGATCTGTGCTGTCTCTGTCATCCTCTATAATGACAAGCCAGGCAGCCTGTGTTTCAGGCACTGAGTTCATTAACATCAGCATATCTGATCTGTACTTTTGTACTTCTTCTAAGCCCCTTTTGAATGAAGTTATAAGTAAGTTCACTTTTGTAAAGAAGTAGCTTAGACAGAACAAAGGATCTTTTTAAAGCTCATACGAATCTCCTTCCCTTTCACAGCATTTGAGATATTAGAACAAAGGTCCTGTTAGAAGATCAGACTCCTACACGTACTTCAGTTTAGAGTCTGTGCGTTGTTCCATCCACACTAATGCACTGTACTCCAATATTGTAGATGATTCAGCTGCTAAAAAGGGCCAAAGCACAGATCTGAACCCTGGCATTGTTCATCTGGGCTATTACATCATTAGGCAGTCCCTATCACAGCTTTAGCCCTGTGCCCATTCCTAGCCAATACCTAGGCACAATTAATGGATTAACGTAGGCTGGG